TTATTAAACACATTACACCTCGAATGGTTGTCCCATGATGTACTGTGGTAACACTGAAAATTATAGCATATATGCTCTTCACTTTGCATTCAGTTAGTCCCTGCAGTCTTAATCAAAATGCTACAAACCTGTGCTATTGGCAAGTTTTCTTCTACGTTATGTCATGAATAGCTGAGTGCGGCAGGCAGGATGGGACCCAAATGCAGACTCGCAGACAGGAACGAACTTAAACTCCGCTTTATTGCTGGAATCAAGGTGAACAAACCGGAAAAGAATAAAGTGGTAAATACTAAACTGGTGGTGGAACACACAGCGGACAGAGGAGGATGTAGACATAACACAAGGGAAAACGAGGGAACAAACCACAGAAGGGAACACAGGCAGGGGGAAACAAAACTGAACATGACACACACCAGGCAGGAGACTATCGAAGTGAAACAGGAAGTGCAGGGAACACAGACACACACTCTGAGATGAAACCCAAGGAACGGAAAGAGAGAGAGACATAAGCTGTGTCCCACAACGTCGGCTGCATCCTCCCGAGGACGCATTTGTAGACCGATTACGTCACAGCGACATGACCAAGGCTGTCCCACTTCGTAGACTCCTCCGAATCCGGCCGACAAATGCGTCCTCTTTTCCCCCAGATTTGAAGGATGGGTCGGGTGTGTCCTTTGTGGCCCACCATATCCCAGAATTCATAGCGCAGCCCAGCCAATTCCGGTTTCCAACAATGGCAGCAGCTACTTAGTTTTAATATTAATATTACTCTTATAAACTTTTAACCCTCTCGAGGCAGGCGTTGCCGATTTGCAACAGTTAAAAGCTAACAACCGGATTACCCCACATACATATTTTATGAGTTTTTTTACTCAGAAGTACCACTGCAGGACTTGGTTGTGCATTAGCAACAAAAAGTTTAATTTAAGCCTGAGAGGGTTGACATATTTTCAGGAGAATGTAGCTGTGTAAACTTCAAATATCTGCTCAGTTTATCAAGACACCACATATTTGTAAAAGTGCTCCAACGTTTTCTGTTACCCACCAGCTCGATAGCTGACCGGGGGGTTCAATGGTCGCTCGAGCCGGCGAGAGCAGCGGACTCCCGGCTTCATCGTTTTCAGACCCCTGCGGTCTACTCAGGTTAAACATGATACGTAAGCCACTCGGATAACTTAAAAATGTTATTGTTTGGCTTTTTTCAGTGTTTTATTTGTTCCGGAGTAAATCGGTTTGGCTGAGATTAAAGTTAGATTAGAAAAATTTCAGCACTTGACTCACAATAGACTGGAACTAAGTGAATTCTGTGTCAGTCTTTGTTTCTTTGGTTCCCATCTGAACGTGAACTCCCTCCCATGTTCCTCTTTCTACAACTGAATGTCCACAAAAATGCACAATCAGCTTTACTTCCCTTAGGCAGCATCATTAGAAGACATAGCATACATTTTCACTGCTATGCTGATGACACCCAGCTCTATCTGTCCATGAAGCCAGATAACACACACCAATGAGTTAAACTGCAGGAATGTCTTAAAGACATAAAGACCTGGATGGCCGCTAACTTTCTGCTTCTTAATTCAGATCAAACTGAGGTTATTGTACTCGGCCCTGAAAAGCCTAGAAATATGGTATCTAAGCAGATTCTTACTCTGGATGGCATTACCTTGGCCTCCAGTAACGCTGTGAGGAACCTTGGAGTCATGTTTGACCAGGATGTGTCCTTCAACGCACATATTAAACAAATATGTAAGACTGCGTTCTTCCATTTGTGCAACATCTCTAAAGTTAGAAATATCCTGTCTCAGAGTGACGCTGAAAAACTAGTTCATGCATTTATTACTTCCAGGCTGGACGACTGTAATTCATTATTATCAGGATGTCCTAAAAACTCACTGAAAAGCCTTCAGCTAATCCAAAATGCTGCAGCAAGAGTCCTGACAGGGACTAAATCAAATTCAAATTCAAATTCAAATTTTATTTGTCACGTACACAGTCATACACAGTACGATATGTAGTGAAATGCTTGGACAACTGCTCGTGACCTAAAGAGAACAAAAAAGGAAAAGGCTATGAATAAGATAGGAAATAAATATGAAAAATTAAAAAGGGTAAATTTAACTAGGAAGGAATAAAATATAAATTAAGGTTAAAAATGAAATAACTGTACAACACAAATTAGAATGAAGGGTAAATTTAACTGGGAAGAATAAGATAAAATATATAAATTAAAGTTGAAAATAAAATAACTGTACAACAAAATACACAATATAGAACTATATAAGAATGTATGAAGAAATCTAAATATAAATAAATATATACACAATAACAGCAGCTGTACAAGTGTTAACCGGAAATGAAGAATATAATGACTAGTGTTGTGCAAAACCAAAGTCCAGAAAGTCCAGTGTGTGTAAGAACCATATGTGTGGGTCAGTACTGTGTGGTGGTGTGATTGAGAGACCGTATCGCCTGCGGGAAGAAGCTCCTCCTCAGTCTCTCTGTGTTGGTCTTCAGGGAGCGGAATCGCTTTCCTGACCTCAGCAGAGAGAACAGTCTGTTGTTGGGATGGCTGAGGTCCTTCACCATCTTCCTGGCCTTGGTCCAGCACCGCCTGCTGTAGATTGAGTGCAGGTCAGGGAGCTCGGAGCGGATGGTGCGCTCAGCTGATCGCACAACCCTCTGTAGAGCTCGTCTGTCCTGCATGGTGCTGTTCCCGAACCAGGTTAAGATGTTTCCCGTCAGGATGCTCTCTATGGTGCACGAGTAAAAGTTCCTGAGCACCTTGGAGGGCAGTTGGAAGTCTCTCAAGCGTCTGAGGTGGTAGAGACGCTGTCGGGCCTTTTTCACCACGGTGTTGATGTGACAGGACCATGACAGGTCCTGCGTGATGTGAACTCCGAGGTATTTGAAGCTGTCCACTAGAAAGAGAGAGCATATTTCTCCTGTTTTGGCTTCCCTTCATTGGCTTCCTGTTAAATCCAGAATTCAAAATCCTGCTCCTCACATACAAGGTCTTAAATAATCAGGCCCCATCTTATCTTAATGACCTTGTAGTACCATATCACCCTATTAGAGCACTTCGCTCTCGCTCTGCAGGCCTACTTGTTGTTCCTAGAGTATTTAAAAGTAGAATGGGAGGCAGAGCCTTCAGTTTTCAGGCCCCTCTTCTGTGGAACCAGCTTCCAGTTTGGATTCAGGAGACAGACACTATCTCTACTTTCAAGATCAGGCTTCAAACTTTCCTTTTTGCTAAAGCATATAGTTAGGGCTGGACCAGGTGACCCTGAATCCTCCCTTAGTTATGCTGCAATAGGTGTAGGCTGCTGGGGATTCCCATGATGCATTGGGTGTTTCTTCTTCACTCACTGTGTGTTAACAGACCTCTCTGCACTGAATCATATCTGTTATTAACCTCTGTCTCTCTTCCACAGCATGTCTTTATCCTGTCTTCCTTCTCTCACCCCACCAATCACAGCAGATGGCCCCGCCCCTCCCTGAGCCTGGTTCTGCCGGAGGTTTCTTCCTGTTAAAAGGGAGTTTTTCCTTCCCACTGTCGCCAAAGTGCTGCTCATAGGGGGTCATATGATTGTTGGGTTTTTCTCTGTATCTATGAAGCGCCTTGAGGCGACTTATGTTGTGATTTGGCGCTATATAAATAAAATTGAATTGAATTGAATTGAATCTGCTGTGACGCTTACAGAAGGTTCATTAGACACACCGAAGCAAATTTGTCAGCCACTCCATCCAACAAGAGTAACAGGATACCTTGATGCACCTAATTAAGGCAACCCACACCTGCTAACTGCAGGTGACCGACCACAGCGGTCCCTCGCTTATCGTGGGAGTTCCTAAAATAACCCACGACAGGTGAAATCCACAAAGTAGCCAACTTTATTTTTTACAATTATTTTAGATGTTTTAAGGCTGTCAAACCCGTCACTACACACTTTATACACTTTTCTCAGACAGGCATGAACATTTTCACACTGTTCTCTCTTGTTTAAACTCTCAAAGTTCAAACCTTCATAAAAAAGAAGTCCAGTACTAATACTTACCTATTTTCTAAAGCATGCAGAGTTCAAGGTGACTTGAAAGACAAACACATCAGTGACTGGAGCCTGGAACTGTCAACCTCCAACAGGGAAACCATCCCTGCCCACGATTACTCCAAGTACAAAAATATAACGGTATCTGAAAGAAGAGCTTAAATCCTCAGGTGGACACGATCGAGCTCATCTGTCATAAGTTTAGTCAGCCTGTAAAACATCTGCTTACATCTTGAATTGTAAATTCACAAAGAGCAGTGCACCTCAGAGCAGCAGCAGCACAGTCTGATGGTCACAGCCTGCACATCTGCTGGAGCTCATAGCAGAAATGATTGTAAGCTTCTTTTAACTGGGCTGAGCAACTACAACCAGTTTTAGGGTTCCTCCACCTGCTGAATCCCACTTCCTGTTTAGGTGTGGATGCAAAGCCGCCCACTACAACAGGAAATAGAGCCGTTTGTTTTTTTTAATCTCTCTTTGCTCTGCTCATGTTCTCTATAACTGATCAAGCTGAGCACATTCATTAGTATTAAAACCAGAATTTACTCTGAAATAAAGTTTGCATTCCCATGTGCTCATAAGATTTTATTATATTAATATAGTACAAGGTTCGGTTAGCTTTGCACAAAATCAGCCGGTACAAACGTTCTTCAAAGAGCTACTTTTTATCTTCTTACTGTGAATTTCAGAGCCTGTACATTTGCACTTTTACTTGGGCAAAAAAGTTGAATCAGTACTTTGCACAAGAATATTTGTTATGTTTTTAAGTATCTATAATATCTATCTAAACATAAATATAATAAATATACTTAATTATTGGATATAATACATAAATATAAGACAAATATAATTCCTTTGGTTTCCTCCAGGGTGAGATCCACACATGTGGAAGGAGATTTAGGTGATTAGGGAGAGGGAGGAGTCAGCCTGCTTCAGTGCTCATCCTTAAGAAGGCTGCACAGACCTGTGTCTGTTTGCAACCATGGGGGCCAGGCAGCTTGTTGCATTTAGCTTCGTACTTGCATGGGTCAGGCTTAGTGACGCTCGATTCCACAGTCTGAATGTGCCAACACACTTGGGGATCAAGGCACAGAGGCCTGCTGTGGCTGAAGCTGATGCTCCAGGAGAACCTGACAGAGTGCACTCCAGTCAGTCTGCTCAGCAAGCTGCAAAGCTCCAGTCAAAGCAGAACCAGCAAGCACTTGAACCCCTCTCCTGGAAATTTCCAGAAGATCCAGTGGATCGGGTGAACAAACCTTTCAAGTTTGAACTGAAGCAGCCAGTGGCAGCCTACCGCGTTGCTGTGAGGTGTGGTGAAAGTAAGATCTTTGTTGAAGTGAGTCGGGACTTGCTGGGTCTCGGCAAGCTGATAAAGCCAGAAGAAATCAGCCTCGGTGGTTGTTCAGCCACTGACACTGATGACTCGTCTCATGTGCTGGTTTTTGAATCTGAGCTGCACAGCTGTGGTAGCAAGCTAGTGGTATGAACCTTTTTATTCTGTTCATTCAGTTACATCACCTTTTCACACAAGTGAAATTCATTTTTTTAATACACTTTGTATTTTTTCATTAGTTGACAGAAAATGCCTTCATTTATGCCTTTGCGCTGGCCTACAACCCCAAAGTGTTTGGCAGAAGCGGCATTACGAGGAGCCAGAGTGCTGTCATTAGACTTGAATGCCACTACCAGAGGTGACTAGAAATGCGGAACAGACTGAACACCCACTTTAGTTTACGGTGGTCCTTATTAAAGGAATAGTGTTGCAACAAAACAGCCTTTAATTAAACACTGACTCCAACTCTGTCCTAACACATCGCCATGTAAAATCTGGAGTCGAAGCCTTTTTATTAAGTCTTCTGTGGTCACATAAAGTTTTTAGAGTTGAGGCCTGTCATTAGTTCTTTCAGTCCTTGTCCTGTCTTCCTCCCATCAGCCTGAAACCAGGAAAGGGTAAAGGGAGTTTTTCCCCCCCACTGTCACCAAGTGCTTGTTTAGAGGGGGCCATCTGAGTGTTGGTGTTTTCCCTGTATTATTGTAGGGTCTTTACAGTGTAAAGCGCCCTGAGGCGACTGTTGTGATTTGGTACTATATAAATAAAATGGATTTGAATTATGCCCCATCTTTTAACAAGAGAAAAATCCAGATGGATGCGTTAGTTTCAAAATAAAATCACCCTGAACAAATGTTATTAAGGTGGAAACTCTTTTGTCCCAGGCACACTTTGAGCTGTAAAACTGGACATTTTAATGTGTGAGTGTGGGACTGAGTTCAACCTAAAGTAGCCAGTCTTGGTACTGCAGTTTTAGCACTTCATATTTCCTCCTTTTTCCAGGCTGATGCTCTTGGTGATATATTAACCAACATAGCATGTTTAAGCTCACTGACCTGATCTAATAATTTTTAAACCAACGCTGTTTTAACCTGACTGTGTAGCTGTGGCCCGTCGGTTTTACAGCAATTAGTCGAACATGTTTTTATGGAACCTTTCCATGCTTTAGCCACGCATCAAAGAAATCCTGTAGCTTTTATACAGTCACGTTCCAGGTATGTAGGCTTTTTGTTTGTTGGTGACTTATAACTTTGTCAGCAGATTCATGGATGACAAAGCAACAGCCTTCTGGTGCAGGTTTAAAGTATTAGTGTACTTTTAAAGTATGATTGGTGTGATGCTAAAAACTGCTCTTAACTTTGACATTTCAGGCAGCACAGTGCGAGCAGCGATCCCGAGCATCCTGCCTGGATGTCCAGTGAAGCTACCAGGCGAGCACAGACACAGCAGCATTTTTCTCTGAAACTTATGACTGGTGGGTCCCAGCAATATTAACACGACTGTGACTTTGCAAACCTTTAATGGCTAATTTTGCTTCAGATGACTGGAAGTTTGAGAGAACGTCCACCAGATATGCTTTGGTAGATGTCATTCACATGGAAGCAGCAGTCTTGGTACAAACTCCAACCCCCCTCAGGGTGCTGGTGGACAGCTGCGTCGCTACCACAAAGTCAGACTTCACTTCAGGACGAAGAGAAGCTTTAATAAATGACGGGTAGGTTCTGGATGGGCAGCAGTTTGATACAGTACACTATATCAGTAGTCTCTTTTCTACACTTAGCTTGACCTGATCTGATAATCTGATCCACCTTAAGTGTGATGCGAGTGTCATTCAAGTGTCACACCAGCATGTCCCCACAGAGTGTGGCTGCTTCTGTGTGAGTGTTGCCTTTCCTACAGGTGTCTGGGGGGTCAGCACACCATTTCCAGGTTCATGCCTCGATCTCAGCCTGATAAACTCCGGTTACAGGTCGCGATCCACAGCTTGGGTCTACAGGGGATGGTATGTAAGTGTGTGCTGATGATGTATGCTCCCTGTCGTGTACTTTAAAATAAAGAGGCCTAATTTCATTTAAACAGATTTATATCTCTTGCCTACTGAAGGCCGTCTCAGCTTCTGCCCCAGTTACCATTGAGAACAAGGCATGCTCATTTTATGAGGGGTATGAGAACGTTTTTGAAGATCTTTCATTCATTGATTCTTTCGAGAGGACTTTCATGACACTGACTCTTCCCACAGTATGTGGATGGCTGTAGATGGAAAGAACGAGTTCTGTACCTGTTGTGAGTCCACTTGTGGAATGAGAAAGATCCGAGCCCTGAGTGACAACGCCACAGGTAATGCATGTCAGCAGGAACGTGCACAATGCTTCATTTCTCACGCCTGACTGCAAAATGACTGCGTTTATGTGCTTTTTTTTTTTTTTTTTTAAAGTGGAGCGATGGGAAGCTGAAGTGACTGTGGGCCCCATTGTTGTAGAGTGAAAGATGTTGTTTTTTTTGTTTTTTTTACACATTTGTAACAAAAGAGAATAAATAAACTTTTTAAAAAGAAACTTCATTTGAAGCTGTGACGTCTCTAAACTGACACTGAAGCTGGCACGTGCACATAACCAGCAGATGTTTCTTTAAAATGGTTTTGCAGAGAGTGAAACACTGAAGACATTTCTGGAAACTGTTCTCAAAAAATGAATAAACGGTGACCAACCCTGAAGTTCGCAGTGCAGCTAACAAGAGTTGACTGTTGATCCAGCCGGTCGTTTCTGGAACTCGTGCACATGCTGGTTAGTAGTTTGGGGAAATACACACAACATGTGCAAAAGAGGAAGTGATATCATATTTCATGCTTGTTGCAAAGAAACTATTACCGATGAATAAGGATGAGAAATCAGTGGCACTTATTCAACTTTCAAACATCAAATAAATTCATGCAGCACATTTAAAAGACTGATAAATGTGTAGTGAGGACACTGGACGAATGGATTTATGGTGCTTTTTAGACGACTGTCACAAAGTGCATTACAGGAAATGATTAAAACACAAGACAAATGTTGAAGACTTTAAAAATGCGCTTTTACAAAACCGCAATAATAAAGGTCGAGCTGTACAAGAATCAAAGCATAAAATACACAAATGTTACTGAAGTGTTTGAGTAAATCGATGCATCTTAGCTGGCTTTTAAAAATCCAAATAACTGGTAACCCTGAAGTGAACAGTGTTGCACAGGTTGTGTACTATGGCCCCTGTCATTGCTGAAGATCAGGGGTTGGCAACCTTTCTGACGGTGAGTGCCATTTAAAATTTCCTCAGAGGTCAGTGTGCCATATGATAGTGTTAGCTATAAATTTAATAACGCTCTATATCAGGGGTCACCAACCTTTTTGAAAGTGAGAGCTACTTCTTGGGTACCGATTAATGTGAAGGGCTACCAGTTTGACACACACTTCTCAAATAACAAATTTCCTCAGTTTAACTTAATTATGTGTTATCATTAATAATTAATGATATTCATCTATGTACGGACACTAATTATGTTAATTATTTTTCACCATAATTATAAAGAATGCAAGTAGGAAACATAAATATCAATATGCAACGCTTTATTTCTATGTATCTCTGCAAGTATTTACATTTTGAAGTGATCACTTCTACAACATTTTCACTTACCACTAACAAATTTTAACAATCATGCACTGTTACACACATGATTTTTGTATGTATGTAACATACAAAAAATCAACTTTCAAATTTTACAGAACTTTTCACCAAATTGGCAGCATTTTAAAGCAAATTGTCACATGTTACACTTAACAAACACATTTGTTTTTCAATAATTAAATTCAACTTTGACATGACACTGTAATGTTGCCACTGAGAACATCTAATATGGCTTTGTCTGTTAGTGGGAAACCTGGCATTGCATGCTGTTCACCAGTGTGTTGTAATCTGGGGTATAACTTGACACTGCAACTCTGAGTGAGTCTTGCAGATGTGCATCGGAGAGGCGTGTTCTGTGTTTGTTCTTGATGAAGTTCATGTCAGAAAAGGCTGATTCACAAAGATAGGTTGAACCAAACAGGCTGGCAACCTTCATAGCTGCTGTGCACACACCACTGTACTTTTCTGTGTCAACAAGGCACCAAAAGTTTGGTGCACCCAGATAGGCTTTGAGGTGGACGTCATTTTGCAATGTTACAATTTCGATTTCCACCTGTCCAGCATCCAAGCTGAACATTGAACTTAGTTGCTCAGCAATGCATGTTGTGTCCACATTCATGAAAGGATTGGAAACAAATGAGACACATGGCTCAGAGTGTCCAGCATTCAGAGGCTGCCTGAGGACTCATGTGAGAGAAAATCTGCTCACACAGACTTGTAGAGCCAAATACTGTCAATAAGGCCTCTGCAATGTTCTGAAGACAGTTAAACCTGTCAGGTAGTGACGTCCAGCAGGTGAACATGCAGCTCCATGAACACGCACAGCTGTGGAGTCCAGCTGCTTCGATGTTGCATTAACTGGCATTAACTCAGCCAGTTAATGCGAGACTAATCCAGCTGCTCATTAAAGCTTTCTGGTTTGATCAGAAAAGAAAACATTGGTCCAAACGCCTGAAAGTCCCAAAGACGCATTGTGTCTCGAGTCTACGGATGTATCCGTGTATCTCCGTGGTGCTGATGCTGCGCTGAGCGGACAGCTCCTGAAGCTTTTGAAGTGTTGGAATATGGAAAGCTAACAACGTCCCTCTGACCAGTAGGCTAAGTTATTTTTAGCCAATGACAAGTTGAATCTGGTAGTTGGGGTTGTTAGTTAAGATACCGTCATTAAGAAGCGGCACAACTAATGTGTGTATGCGAGCTGATTTGCGATGTGCACCGCTGGTGCGGCCATTTATTTTTTAATGCACCCTCTCAGATTAAGTCACTGCGTGTCGTGCCCAGGGCTGGACTGGGACAAAAAAATCAGCCCGGGCATTTTGACTAGAGACCGGCCCCCCAGGTATTAAAGCCATAAAGCCTTTGAATGAAAACAAACGCTGTTGTGACAGTGATGTACAGTCTTGTTGGTATATGTATGATTTCTATACATTTTACATCAGATTAAAACTTTGGTTTACGGATGACCTTAGTTATGCTGCAATAGACGTAGGCTGCCGGGGGATTCCCATGATGCATTGAGTTTTTCCTTTCCAGTCACCTTTCTCACTCACTATGTGTTAATAGACCTCTCTGCATTGAATCATATCTGTTATTAACCTCTGTCTCTCTTCCACAGCATGTCTTTATCCTGTCTTCCTTCTCTCTTCCCAACCAATCACAGCAGATGGCCCCGCCCCTCCCTGAGCCTGGTTCTGCCGGAGGTTTCTTCCTGTTAAAAGGGAGTTTTTCCTTCCCACTGTCGCCAAAGTGCTGCTCATAGGGGGTCATATGATTGTTGGGTTTTTCTCTGTATCTATGAAGCGCCTTGAGGCGACTTATGTTGTGATTTGGCGCTATATAAATAAAATTGAATTGAATTGAATTGAAGGTTCAGATAATTATTTAATAAAAGTGAGATATTTTAAATGAGAATAAGAAAGAAAAGTATTTCTTTGTGCCCCCCTCTCCCTGTTAATGCCCTACCTGGCCCCCTGGCAACACTTTGCTAGACCCGCCCCTGCACAGTTACCAGCTGTCAGCTACATAAAAAAGGATCCTGGTGTTATTAGTCTCTCAGAAACAGTTCATAACTTCAACTCATTCATGTCACCTAAAGGGTAAACCTGTTTCTCCATCACCTGTTCAGCTCTGATGATTCAGTAAGGACATCTCCTGGTTTCATCTTCATGTTTCCCTCTCACCAGATAACCAAACCGACATCATGACCAGCAGCTTTACAGCTGTGGCTCCAGCAAACATCAGCTGATACTAGAAATTAATATTAAATAAATTCTAACAACAGCTGATCAAGCTTAAACGTGCTGCTGTTGTTTAGCGCGACATCCGCTGGTTTCCTCTTTCTGGCACAAAGTGGGCGATAAATAAACAAGAGAGACGATCAGCTGATCATTGATCAGTTTCATGATTGAAGTAGAAACGGGAGGGGAGAGAATGAGAGGAGAAGAGGCAGCTGTGCAGCGTAACGACAGAATAACTCCAGCTTTGTGTCTTTTTTTCATTCTAGCTAAAGTCCGGGACAAACTGCGTCTCTTCTCAGCTCAACACCAAACGTGTAATATTTTCTCTGAATGAGGGACCATTCCATTTTTTTAAGGAGCGGTTGGCAACTCTACTAACTAACCTTATGAATAAAATAAAGTTCACTATCAGTAACATCATAGCACCACCCAGCTGTATAGAAACTCCGTCATGCTAGCTAGCACGCAGTACGAGTTACTGTAACTGACTGTAAAAAGTCAACGAAAATAAACTCCATCTAAACTTGGTTTATATCTGCACTTCACCTGACACTCGGACCGGCGGCCGCTTCGGGTCTCTCCTCCTGCCTCCCCTCTCCCTCATCCACCTGCTGGCCTCCACCACTTGTTAATGTTACTGAATCTGTGGAAGCTCCGCCATAACCACCACCAAACAACTGAGTTATTTTTACACACCGGCCAGCATCTGGCCAATCCACCACCTCTCATTGTTTATACCGTTACAAAAAAAAGGGTTGCTGACCCCTGCTGTAGATCCTAGTGGTGTGGATCAGTGGCTTGATGTCTCGTTCACTTCTGGCAAATGACTTGATGTCATCCATGGAGCTGGCTGGTGACTGCACCTTACCGTATTTGGTATCAGTAGCCGGTTTTGTTATTGATCTTGTTAGGGAGGTTCAGGCGCATGCAGAACCATAACCATTGAATTCCTGACAAAGGCTCTTAAGGTCCTGTTACCAACATCTGGTTAGAATTATCACCTTTAGAAAACTGGTGATGTGTCCAATACTCATGTTACTGTCTGTGTTAAAAATGCCATTTGGACTTTTTTGGTTTCAGTCTTCGTAGTTCTATTACAGAAAAACAGTTTTGACAGTTTAAAATAAAGTCTTTGAGCTTATCTGTGTCTCAGTGAAACAGGAGGTACACTCAGGTAGCATTTATGGATCAATGCACTGGGCAAGTTGTTGTTATCACTAACAAACACTGATGTCACTGTAATGTCTGATGCAAATGTGCAGCCTTTGGTCACACGAAACTACACATCCAGAGGTAAACAGCAATTGATTTATTGGAAGGTGACGAGATCATCAGGGTATAAATCAAACAAACTGCAGCTGGTGTTATTTGTACAGTGTAGTCATGCTTTTTGTACACCTCCTGTTTTCTGAGTATGGGTCTGAATTTGGTCTGGAATCAGTTTGAGAAGCGAAGAGAAGGAACACGAAGAGAAGGTAGCTGAGTGGTGCTCAAAGGCATTTTAAAAGTCTCGAGTTCATACCTAGAACGACCGTATCCACAAATCCAACCAAAGCTTGTCTGTGTAAATTTTAATTAAACATAAGATGGAAATCACCTTTACACAGTTTGTATGAATTTACAAACTCCGAGTCGGATCATTGGGCTTTCTTTCCGTGTTT